GTAACAATGCTTGGGATTTCTTCTGTCCAACGTGCCGAACTCTACACTTGTCCTTGTTGAACTTCATCAGATTTCTTGAGGCCCTATCCTCCAATTTGTCTAAGTCACTCTGGACTGTATCTCTGCCCTCCAGAGTATCTACCTCTCCCCCCAGCTTAGTGTCATCCGCAAACTTGCTGAGGGTGCAATCCATCCCCTCATCCAGGTCATTAATAAAGATATTGAACAAAACCGGTCCTAGAACCGAACCTTGGGGCACTCCGCTAGAAACTGACTGCCATCCTGACATCGAGCCTTTGATCAGTACCCACTGGACCCGACCTTTCAGCCGGCTTTCTATCCATTTTACTATCTATTTATCCAATCCATACTCCCTTAACGTGCTGGCAAGAATATTGTGGGAGACCGTATCAAAAGCCTTGCTAAAGTCAAGGTATATCACATCACTGACTTTCCCATATCCACAGAGCTAGTTACCTCATCATAGAAGCTAATCAGATTGGTCAGGCATGACTTGCCCTTCCTGAATCCATGCTGACTATTCCTGATCACCTTCCCCTCTTCCAAGTGCTTCACAATGGATTCCTTGAGGATCCTCTTCATGATTTTTCCAGGGACTGAGGTAAGACTAAGCGGCCTATAGTTCCCTGCATCATCCTTCTTCCCTTTCTTAAAGATGGGCACTACATTTGCCTTTTTCCAGTCATCCAAGATCTCTCCCGATCTCCACACTATGGCCAAAGGCTCCTCAGTGACATTTCCAACACGTTTAGCTTTTTTAAATAATTCCTAACCTGTTCTTTCCCACCAAGGGCTGTCCACCTTTGCGTCACTTAGTGCATCTTGAGCGGTTTTGTATCATCAGCAAAATTTCCCATCTCACTGTTTATCCCTTTCTCCGGATCATTTATGAATATTTTGAATAAGATTGGACCCAGAACATACTTGTGGAGGACAACATCTCACCATTCTGAAAAGTAACCATTTATTCCTACCTTTTGTTTCCTGTCTGTTAATCACTTACCAAACTATGAAAAGAACTCCCCCATTATCCCATTTCAGCTTCCTTTGCTTAAGAAACTTTTGTGAGGGACCTTGTTAAGCGCTTTCTGGAAATTTAAGTACACTATATCTAGGATTCCCTTGTCCACATGCTTGTTAACCCCTTCAAATAATTCTAGTTGATTGATCAGACACAATTTCCCATAAGAGAAAACATATTGACTCTTCCACAACAAATTATGATTTTTTATGTGTCCAATCATTTTTGTTCTTTATTGTAGTTTCAACTAGTTTGCCCAATACTGAAGTTAGACTTGTAATTGCCAGGATCACCTCTAGAGCCCCTTTTAAAAACTGGCATCACATTAGCTATCCTCCAGTCATTTGGTACAGAAGATGATTTATAGGATTGGTTACAACCTGCTACACAGAAGATGATTTATAGGATTGGTTACAACCTGTTGCTAATATTTCTGCAATTTCATATTTGAGTTCTTTCAGAACTCTTGGGTAAAGGCCATCTGGTCCTGGTGATCAATTACTGTTATTTTATCATTTGTCCCAAAGCCTCCCCTGATGACACCTCAGTCTGGGACAGTTCCTCAGATTTGTCACCTAAAAATAATGGCTGAGGTTTGGGAATCAGCCTTGAAGACTGATTCAAAGGACTCATTTAGTTCCTCCCCAATGAGTTTATCATCTTGATTGTCCAGTGGCCACACTGGTTGTTTAGAGGGCTTCCTGCTTCCTATATAATTAATTCATTTTTTGCTATTACTTATTAAGTCTTTGCCTAGCTGTTCTTCAAATTCTTTGTTGGCCTTCCTAATTGTATTTTTATACTTCATTTGACAGAATTTATGATTCTTTCTATTTTCCTCACTGGAATTTATCTTCCACTTTTTAAATGGTGCCTTTATATCTCTCGTCGCTTCTTTTACTTGGTAGCTGGGGGCTGAAGAAAGATTCCTTCAGGATAGGTTTCAGATGGGTAGCTATGTTAGTTCAGTTCAGCAAAAATAACAAGGACTCCTGTGGCTCCTAAAAGACAGAAAAATCAGTCAAGGGCCACACACAAAAAATCCTCATGGACATAGTGCCTCTCTGAGAAGGAGAAAACACTTCAGAGGGGTAGCCGAGTTAGTCTTTAAGGTTCTTCTAGACTATTTGTTGTTGTTAAAGTTTTTCCAGTTACAGACTAACATAACATGGAGATGGGATCATGACCTTTTGTGGGCACAACCCACTTCTTTAGATGAATGGAGTATTAAAAGTCCAGTTCCAAGAATATATCGGGAAGGGGGAGGAAGGAAGGGGTAAAATAGTGAATTAGAGTGTTCAAATTACAAGAAGCTGATAACAATTTGCACCTTCTCTAAGCGCCCATTATAGATTTGGTTAAGTCATTAGGATGTGGAAAGTAGTACGCAAGCCAGCCAACGTCTTTATTCATACCTCTGTGATAGGAATCAAACTTGTAAATGAAGTTAAGCTCCAACGCTTCCCTGTGTATTTGGCTTGTGAAATTGGCCTAAAACAACAGGGTGACTTGGAGATCCATTAATGAGTGCCTGGGCAGGTTAAAGTGTTCTCCAACAGGTTTCTGTGTGTTACCATTTGGAATATCTGATTTGTGTCCATTAATACTTTCCTATAGAGACTGTCCGTAGAGACTGTCCAATATACATGGCAGAGGGGCACTGCAGGTATTTTATGGTATAGTTTACATTTGTGGATGTGCAGTTAAATGAGCCCCTGATGTAGTGGCTGATGTGGTTGGGTCCAGTGTTGAAATCGCTTGTGTAGACGTATGGATGGAACTGGCACCGGAGCTGATTGCAGGGGTGGGTTCCAGGATTATGATGGATGTGTGCTGCATGGTTACCGGAAAGAATTTTTTTGAGGTTAGGGGGTTGTCTGTGGGCAACAATCTACAACCTACCCTGGAAAATGACCCCTCATTCTCACAGGCTTTGGGGGAAAGACCAATTCACCTCCTAGATCAGGCTAGCAGCTGAAGCCTGGCTGGGGAGCCTGGGCAGCTGTGGGGTGCTGTGGACCCTCCACCTGCCCAGGATGAGAGGGTTGAACACAGTCCCTGGCATGTATCCCTGCCCTGAGGGCCCCCTGCCTAGAACAGAAAGGTCCACAGTTCCCCCCACCCCAGTCTCCCACATGGCTCTTACCGTGGCCAAACTGTGTTGTCCCTCCATCCAAAGCCAGGTTGGGGTAAGAACCACACAATTAGCAGTGGAAAGCCATGAAGTTTCCTGCCTTGGGCTGAAGGCTTGTGGGATGGGAACATGGGCTGGATGCTGCCCTCAGCTCCTCCACCAAACCCCTGGGAGATGGACAGTCTGAAGCTCCAGCTTCCAGCTTGGCTGGGATGGGGCCTTAGGCAGAAGAGATGGGGCAGAGGTGGGGCCGTCAGTGAAAGAGTAGGGGGCAGGGCCAGGACGAGAAGGGGTGAGGCCCTCTGCCTCCATCCAGTTTTGGGAAGGCTCTGCCATCCCTGATCTCTGGCCCTGGGACTGACAATTTGCAGCCCACCAATGGACTGTAACAATGTGCCTGAATGTTCAGCCTCTGGATTGCAGAATGCCTACATTTGCTAAGCTCTGCAGCACCCCCATTGCAGGGCTGAACCTTACAAGGCTCAGCTGAAACCAGGGTATTTGCTGGTTTCCACATGCCAGGCTGTACATTCTCAGGCCAAATGTTTTGTATGCAGAACATCGCTTGACAGGCTCTCTGTCATGTATTACAGCACCAGGATTGTTTGGAATTGAATCCCCACTTTGGTGTCTTTAATTTAGGGGTTTGCTATAGCGGGAGCTCATTTCAACAGTCTAATTAGACTTGGTCTGGAAAAATAAAATACTCCAGGGCTAATCGAGAGAGAGAGAGCTTGTTCTGCTGATGATTCTGCCATAATTCATCCACTCTGATGCTTGTAAAATGTTAACCTGTCTTGCTTGTTAATTTTTTTTATTTGAATGCACTATAAAAATTATAACTTCCTCAATATTTTATGTTTTTATTTGTAGTTGATGCTTGTAACGTGTTACGGAAAGCAGGTTTTTATTTACCTGTCAAGGATGCTTCCTGAAGCTATCCAACTGTGTTTTCAAGTACAGCAGTATAAAGTTTGTGAAGCTCAAAGTTAACGTTAGGTAACATCCAGGGCCTTTTCCATCATTGCTCTGGCTCCTTGTGCACTCACGTGTCCTTGAGCAAAGCAGGGATAAAAATGTTATTGCAATTGTTCAATAACTAACCTGTAAGGCTACATCTACACTGCACAGTTATTTCGGAATAAGCTATCCCGGAAGAGTTATTCTGAGATAGCTTATTTCGAAATAGCACGTCTACACTGCAGGGAAACCTCAAAATTAGTGCAAGCCAGGCTTCCCTAATGCAGATGTGTTATCTCGATTTAAAGCCCCAGGGAGAATAATTTAAAATGGCCCCAGTGAGGGGCCATTTCAAAATAGCAGAAGTGGAGCGTTTACACACAGCTTATTTCGAAACAGCTGTTTCGGAATGAGCATGTTTCTTTGTACAATGAGGTTAACAGAAGTAGAATAAGCCACTGTTATTTCAAAATCATTCCAAAATAACTTTGCTGTGTAGACACACCCTAAGAGCAAAGCATTTAGTTTTCATCAACCTCACGTAGGCACTTTGGTGACGGGCATGGTATAAGAACCTACATAGAACGGAGTTCAATTTTCCTCTTCTTTTGTTCATCACTCTCTTTGGTGCTTCCTGTCTCAGGGTATATGTTCTGGGCAGGGATTGTTTCTGTGTAAATAAAGTGTCTTACCCAATGGGGCTCCAATCATTACAGCCTTGAGAGACCCAAACATTTGGGTTGACATCCATGGTAATGAACTGGCATCTGTATCCACCTGATACACTCACCTTGTATATGTCTCCAAATCCACGCCAGCGGATATCTGCAGATGTGCAGGTCTCTGCTGCTCATTAGAGTAGCCTGCGGGCATGACTGTAAAATAAGCACCTGTAGGAATTTCAAAGGGGGAAGTATTGAACAAGGCAACATGCTGGCTATGCACATGGAAATGCCTATGCAAAGCATAAGGTAGTGGTACTGGTGAATCCTCTGAGTGGTCAGTTCTGGTTGTTATGTTCCAAGTGTACATGAACCACAGCAGTAATATGGTGCTTGAAGGCTTGATCCCAACATGGTTTTATCATCTCACTCCTTCAGGCCTGCTGACAGGAGAGTGGAGGGGGAGGGGGCAAAAATGGCAGCTGCCCCAGGGCCCAGTGATTTAAAAACCAGACTCTCCCAGCCAGTGCCAACACTACAGTGACAATGACAATGGTGCATGCCAGACAGTGCTGAAGGCTGGCTGGGGAATGCTAAGCCACCAGCCCCACCGCGTCCACCCAAGATTCTGCTCCTTAGGGCACAGCGAAGTCTGTCGGCTGCCCTCATCACTGAAGTATCTGAGGACCTCTGAAATTGGTGGAGAGACTGGTCAGACCAGGCAACGAAGTGTTTTTAACAAACACTGGTGATCAGATCCAGCATGTACCCACTGGACACTAATTCTGTGGTTGGAATGGAGGTCATATCATGCCAAGACAGCACACAATGACCACAGTTTGCAAAACAAGCCCATGGTTTGGGTCCAAGTCCCATGTTAGAGGGAGAGTGTGCATAAATGTTTTTTGACTTGGCCCATCCCTAGCTAAAATTATAGATTTTGTGAGACAGCATTCTAGATATTAATTTGAATATTTCTTGTATAGAAGGGCTTCATGCAAGGGCCAAAACTCTTTAACCCCTTTAAACGTTCAGGAAATTATTAATCTGGGGGCAGCTGTAGTTGAATATCTGTCTGAAATGTCATGGTAAGAGAAAAGTTGATCCTTAAATGCTGTCAGATCAGCACAGTACTAGCCAAAACCGATAAGCTAATTCTGGCACATTACTTGAGGACACTGAAATTGCCACTGTAAGAGCTCAGTTAACTTTAGGAGCACAGCTGTTGCCATTAGCAACAGGCTAGCGATTTATAGAGGGGAATGACATTTATCACTCAGTGTTGCTCTGCATTTCTAATGCCTTACTTAGAAAAAAACAAGTGTGTCACGGTGTTTATTTTACATTTGTAAGCCCATCTCTGCTTTTTCATCAGCCTAGATCTAATTTTCTGTGCAGTACAAAGTCGAGGTTTGCAAAGGGCCTAGCATTTGTGTGGTTTTTCAATGTACTGGGGGGTGGAGGTTGCATTGGGATTTTGCTCTGCCTTTTCCCCCAAAATCTCAATTTTAATGGACCAGAATCTCTCTTATCTCTCTGTAGCTCCTCTAGTTCTCCTCCTGCCAACCTGATATCATATCCCTTGGCATGTCTTTTGGTGGGTTCACTTCTTCCAGTCTCCCATGGTGTGTTGGTGTTGACATGGGTCTGTCTTTGGTTCCCTCATCTCTCCCTTTACATCATCTCACTGGGTGATCTCAATTGTTGCCATGGTTTCAATTATGGTTTTTTGTTTCTGTCTATTTGCACATCTACCTTTCCTATCTTGACTACACCCATCCAATCTCATATCTCCATCTACCTGGGTGTTTTGCCGTCCATTTAGCAGCCAAAACTGACTTCTTCCTGGTCGTCCCTCTGATGCATGCTCCTTGGGCACTGCCAACACCATTAACAACCTCCCTTTGACTGTGGCCTGCAGTCTTGAGGTTATCATTGCTCCCTGTCTCTCTCTTGTCCCAACGCATGCATCCAAGTTGTGTCCCAAGTCTGCCATTTCTTTCTCCTTATCTCTAGAATCTGTTCTTTTCTCCCATACCCACTGTGAAAGTTCTGGTGATGCCCATCTTGAGTGGTGCAACATCCTCCTCTCAAGCCTGCTAAACACCAACCTCTACTCTCCCTCACTCCACACAAAACATTGCTGGTAAAATAACATACCTTGCTTCTCAATTATATCACCTTTCTTTCAGCTTCCATCCTTCCTACTGCCTCCCTTCCTCCACAAGAATACATGCAAACTTCTTATTGCTGCCTTTAAAAAGCTCCTTGCCTCTTTACCCCCAACTCAAGCTGCATCCATTCCTTCATGTCTCCAGCCAAGACTGTTCATTGGTTTGTTTCTCATATGACTGTCTCTGTGCCTTCTTCCACCGTGCTCCTGATGTAGCATTATCTTACCAAGCTCATGCACAAAGCCCCTTCCATTTCCATCTCCTCCCTGAAAACTTATCTCTGCCATAATACCTGGAAGAGATTGTTATGCTTTAGGAAAAAGCTGGATACAATTTTCTTTTCCTCTTTTTATTTGTTCATTAACACAGCCATTTATTTACTGTTCTCCATTTCCTTTCCTGGGTGTCTGTCTGACACTCAAAACCTGCTGAGACTTTGCACAATAGAGTGGCCCCACTGAAGTTGGTGGAACTGCTTATGTGTATAAAGTTAAGCAAACCCATAGACGCCTTAGCAGTACTGGGACCAGAAACTATAGGCCTTTTGAAGCAGGCATCAAGTTATCTATGTCTGGAAAACATTAATCAAGCATGGGCATTGCTGGAACTTAATAAATAGAAATAACAATGTAGGTGACTGGAGGAGTCCAGGGTTTGAGCAGTGATGTCCCATAGGCCATGTCTACCCTATGTGGAAGACTGACATTGCCGCAGTCGATCTTCCAGGTTTCAAATTAGTGGGTCTAGTGAAGACCTGCTAATTCGAACTGAGAGGGTGCCTCCATCAGCACCAATAGTCCTTCTCCTCATGAGGAAGTTGATGGAAGCATTTGCTCCCATTGACCTCCTACTGCGTGGATGGCCCGAAACACAATTTGATATGTTGACTCCAGCTAATAATTAACATAGCTGGAATTGCGTATCTTAAGTCGACTTTCCTCTTAGTCTAGACCAGGCCTTAGGAATTAATTTATGAAAGAGGAAATTCTATATCTTAATAAATAGGATTTGAAGTAAGTTGAACAGTCAAATGTAAAAGAGTCCCAATGTAAATATAACCCATGAAGGCAAGCAACAGAATGTATTGATGAAGGGTATAGGTGCTTATATACAAATGCTGCAAGTCTAAACTCAGATGGGTGAACTAGAGAGCTTGGCATTAAATGAAGCTATTGATCTAATGGTAATTGTGAAAACTTCCTGGAAGGAGGATAATTAATGGGATACTGAGTACAAAATATATAGGAATGACAGTCTCAAAGAAGGCATAGAGTCAAATACAGTAAAAATCTTAAATGAATCAAATTGTACCTTAGAATTTCTCTGAATAGGAATCCCAAACTTGAACAATAAGAGTATTGCAGCAGTAATATACTATCAACTTATTGAATAGAATGGTGATTATGACTATAAAATACTCAAGCAGATTAGAGAGAGAGAGCCATAAAAATGAGGGATTTCAATTATCCTCATATTGGCCGTGTATATGTCACCTTAGGAAGGATTATAGAGATAAAATTTTATACATACCATTACTGATTGCTTCTTGGAGCAGCTTGTTCAGGAACCCAAAAGGGGAAGAGGCAGTTCTTGATTTGGTCCTAAGTGGGCCACAGAATCTTCTCCAAGAGCTGAATGAACCATCCCATAATAACAATCATAATGTAGTTACATATAACATCCTTGGAGCAGGGGAGAATGCCAAAGAAAGAATCCCATTACAGTAGCATTTACTTCAAAAGGACAAACTATATAAAAAATGAGGAAACTACTTACATGGGAAGTAAAAGGAGCAGTCGTGACGGATAAATGCTTTCAAACAACATGGAAATGCTTCCAAAAGACCCTTTCAAACAACATGGAAATGCTTCCAAACAACCCTAATAGAGGTGCTAACTAAATACGTGCTTAAAAAAAAATAAAACAGAAGATCAACAAGAAAAATGCCTAAAGAGACTGCCTAAAGATGGCCAAAACCAGATGAGTAAAAGAAGCGGTAAGAGATAAATATCTGACGTAAAATACTAGAGAGGAAAATAGGAGCATAAAACCTGTCAAGTCAAGAGTAAACGTATAAAGAAAGAATATGAAAAGCAATTAACTAAAGACACAAAACTAACACCAATTATGTTTTTCAAGTATGTCTCAGGCAGGAAGTCTGTGAAAAAGTCATTGGGGCCACTGGACAATGGAGGTGCTAAAGAAGCACTTAAAGACGACAAATGTGTGCAGAAAAACTAAATGAATTCTTCCCATCAGTCTTCATTGCTGAGAATGTGAGAGAGATTCCCCTCACCCGATCCATTCATTTTAGGTGACAAATTTGAAGGACTGTCCCAGAAAGAGGTGTCAGTTGAGGAAGTTCTGAAACAAACAAACACTGAACAGTAGTGAGGCACTAGAAGGAGGTGGTCCTGTCGTGATGGCAGGGGACCGGACTTGATGACCTCTCGAGGTCCCTTCCAGTTATAGAATTTGATGATTCCCTAGTATTCACTCCACAGTTCTGAAGGAACTCAAATGTGACATTGCAGGACTATTAAGTGGTACATGTCCACTCTGGGCTCCTTCTGTTGAAGTGCATCCTTACTTGGTGCACTTCCACTAACTTAAGAGAGATAGTGAGGGGAGCAGGCGAGAGGTAAGGCTTTCAGCTCTGAACATAGATTCCTATCAGTAGCACATCTCCCTACTGAGAACTAGGCAGCCACACTCAGTTTCTCAGCTCTGTACCAGGATCGGGGCTGCCTATTCCACTCAGCAACTGGATCCCTGTTGAGAATAGGGCAGTTGAGTGAACTTGGTGCATAGTGCTCCTACCTGGGCACGGCCATGTTTCCAATGAGGAGTGGGGAGACATGAGTGGGGGCAGCAGCCTAGCTAAGAGCAGGGAGTTGGGATTCCAGGCAGCATTTTGAGCAGGGAGTCTGTCTAGCAGACCAGCTTGGAGCAGAGACAGGGCATCAGCCCATCTAGGGAGCCAGCTTGCCTGTCAGTTACACAGCATCCCTACTACTAGTGATAGAGGAGTTATGTCAGTGTAGTACAGGAGTAGCCAACCTGCGGCTCGTGAGCCGCATGTGGCTCTTCACCCCTGAAAGTGCAGCTCACGAAGCCTCCCCCCAGCTCACGAAGCTCTCTGTGCTCACTGGGTGCAAGGGAGCTATCTGATGCGGCGATTCAAAATGGCGTCTCAGGTCAGGAGCCTGACGTGGCCAAAAAGCCTAACCCGTGAGTTGCTCAACAACTCTGGCTGGTGCAACTCTTGGCATTTCATTTAATGGGTTGGCCACCCCTGGTGTAGTAGGACAATTACATCGGTGGGAGCAAGGCTGTAATTTGTACTCTGACTGTGTAAGCTGCCGTACGTCACCCTTATGCTGTTGTGTAGATGAGGCCTTAGAGACAATCTCTGAAGAACTTACAGTAGAAGTAGACAAGATAGGGCAAAGGGAGAGAACATAAAGTTTACACCCTGCAGAGAAGCACTGAGCACATTGTTGGTTCTTAGTTAATAAATGGTAATATACTGAATAAACACCTTTATCAGATACTTTTAATGCTGTTAGAGCTTAGCATATTGGATCAAACTGGCTATCTATGTAATATTTTGGCAGTGAGCAGCAGCAGCTGCTCCAAACAAGGCTAAAAAATATCTTATAATGAATGTTGTATATAATGGGTATTCTTCTAAACCCAGCTAGGTCCAAAGCCTCAAAGGGTATGCCTTGAAAGCTTGTCTCCCCCATTAAGAGAAATTGTTCCAATACAAAATAGTACTTCATTCGCATTCTTTCGCACCTGTTTTAAGTGTGAATAAACCACAAATACACATAAGGCTGAATATATTATTGGAAATATACAACATTCAGAATCTCCTTTTTCTCCCTACTGGTTTGTGTGGTGTACAAAATGGCCCATGTATATTTGCAATTTTTTTCTAAAGAACCCCGTCTAGACTGCAGAGCTTTTTTCAAAAAAAAAACCCCTTTTTCGAAAAAGCACTTGGACGTGATTATGCAAATGAAGCACAAGATTTGTAAATCCACACTTCATTTGAATTTTTCAACCTGCTTCATTTGCATTCCTCTTTTGAGAGAGGAATGCAGTCTAGACGAGCCCAAAGACACAGCGATTGATTTGCATCTGTTTATATTTTTTAAGGCAAAAACTTTACATGGAAGAACGTAGAAGTCCCTCTAAGCTAATTTTTCAAGAGCTCAGCCACATATTGGGTGCCGAACATTCCAGACATTCTGGACAGATATCACAATGGGCATTACTGGGTGCTGACCACTTCTGCATGCTAGACCCTTATTGAAATGCCTAGACGGGAGTCTAGCTCTTGAAAATCTGGACCCTATTATGGGTGCTCAGCTCTCTGGCCTTGAGTTCTTTTGAAATGTGTTTACATTAAGAAGAAAAAATAAGATTTCCCTTCCTCCCTCCAAAAAAATATGGCTTTTGTAGATGTCATAAATGCTGGCTCTGCCTCCGGACTATTAATTGCTTTTGTTCCAAATACAGCATTGATTGCTTCCATTTACAGATCTAGATGAAATGGGGGGGGGGGAAAAAACATGTGTAATTTAACAGCCTTTGTTTTTCTGAATGGAATAACTCCAGATATAAATTTTCCCCTAAATCTTTGCACAGTACCTTAATTAACTATACTCCACTTACAAAAATACAGCATAGAAAGTAGCAGCGCTAAGACTTAAAGTAAATAGTTTGGACAGTATCATTTCAGATTACTAATAAATATTCTTTGCCCATTCATTTATATGTGTGCACTCTGCTGGAGGAAGCTGCCATTTGGCACTGCGTTCAGATGCAACCTCCTACCAAGAAGGTACAAACATGGTGCTCTCTTGTGGACACTTTTCTTTTGTTCTTTCTTGTTTTGTCATTTTTCCTTCACTATGAAAATAAACATGTTGGGTTTTTTTTTTTAATTGGCCAAAGGGTGTAGATATTACTGGAGCTGGAGTCCCCTTGCTGCTAGTAAATTCCAATCTCCCACTCTACCTGTTGGGTAAGGAAACCTGTAGCTAGATTAATAATAATTGGCTTCATCAGGAAATCACTTGCATGCACCAACACAGAGTTCACATGCCCCGCCAGCATCAGTCCCTCAGTCACCACTGTGTGGCCTCATTCCCTTTGTCCCTGGCCACACCTCGGATAGAATAGTCATACTTGTAGGGACGGTCTGGAGAGCCCTTGGCCTCTGTGGAAATCTGGAGCTCTGCTCTAGGCTGGTGATGCCCTAGCAGCATCAGCATATGCCTTCCCTACCAACTTATGCAGTTCCTTCTCTGATCCTAGAAGAGCTGGAAGAATGGAGAAGCCAGCTTCTCCTTTTTGTTCACGCCCCCAGAAATAAGGGTGTGAGGGCATGAAAACAACTAATACACCTGAACTCTTATCCATGACTAGGGCTTCTAGGTGCCACAGCAGTACAAATAATAAAAGATGCAAAAGGTTAGGTATTCAGCTTCCTAAGCGAGGACTCTTTAAAGCTTTATTATTACTTATTAGAGTGGATCAGACACAAATCATTTTAAATAGTCATTTTTACAACCAGCCCTGTTAATCACCCAGCACCCCAAATGTACATGGTGCTCAGCAAGAAACGGACGTGACACACTCCTGCTGTGGGGAGTCCATCTAATTCTTGTTGCTTAGCACTAGCTGCCCCCTTGACCCCAACAGCCATGATGCCAGCTACACGAAGCTGCTACTCCCCACAGACGTCAGCTCCACCCACGTTGCCTTCGGCGGAATAACTGATGCACAACAGAGGGAGCCTGCCCAGATGTGAAGAGGCTAGGCAGATGGATAGACATGTGCATAGCCTCGTATAGCGTAATTTATTTTGCCAAACACGGAGGAAAAGGCAGGCACTTTCCTGAAGACTGTGTAATCTTAAAACATTACAACAAAAACGATAAAGGTTATAAAGAAATTAGCAACACGGGCCTTCTTGTTAGTAATGGACCCTTCCTGAAAGATGTCTTCTCAATGTCTATGAAACCAGGTGGGCTGACTACACAATGCAACATCTGCTGTAATGCTGCTCGTACATCTCATACAAGCCCAGGGAAAAGCTATCTCTGGTCTGAGCCTTCCACTCAGTGGGAAGTGATCAACTGCCAGCCTAGTGAAATTTAAAATATTTTCTCCAGTTACTTCATAGCACTCCTTTGGAAGTCAGAACACCTGTGAGGAGATAAATGATCTGCAAACCCCTCTTCAACACCCAGCATGAGAGAACAAAAACCAAGAAGAGAAAAATCTCTCTGCTACAGTTAGATACTATCTACAACACAACAGCTTCCTGCTGTGAAGGGATATCTCTACTCCCAGGACTGCAGGCTGGGAACTGTGTTTTAATTGCATTACAGCGGATTTGTGGAGAGGGAACTTCCAATAACTTACGCAGCATTAAAATAGGGTTGGTCCATAGTCATGTCCTGTAATGCTGTGACGTAACAGTACTAGGGATCTAATCCAATCACTAAAATACAAATCAAGAATCTACTCAAATGTATTTATCTGTAACAAAAAACAGGACTATGTAGCACTTTAAAGACTAACAAGATGGTTTATTAGGTGATGAGCTTTCGTGGGCCAGACCCACTTCCTCAGATCAAATAGTGTTGATCTATCAGTATTTATCTGTAGTATTCACACACACAGAGTTATCTGAATATGAAAATACAGAGTAAAATATATAGTATTTCAATACATAGTGAAGTGTACATGAGCACCATTGAAACTTAGCATGGCGGCATTAACAATTACACCATAGTTAAGGTTTGAATTGAGTTTTGCATTGAAAGCCAAGATTCAATTGTATTATGTATGAAGATTACATTGCATCTTCCCTCAGATTACAGCATTCTGTGAGGACAGAATGGATTTCCTAAGAATTTGCAAGCAATCTGTTCATTAGTTTAGGAATAAAAATTAATTAAAATGTATTCTTTGAGTTTAGCATCCAGTGATAGTCTTTGGAATAAAGGTGCTAAAGCCAAGAACTTGACCTTAAAGGGCTTAGTGCCTGGAGTATCTGTTAAAATAAAGATATACTCGAAAGGTCAATATGTTAATGATGTAGCCATATTCTTATCACTTAGCTAGTTACAGGGGTGTAAAAAACAAAGAATCAAAAGCATAACTCACCTGTGTACGGGCTTTCTTTCGCGGTGACAGTCTGAGGCCTTGTTCTTTGGCTTAGCAGCAGGGATAGCCAAAAGCTATGAAGCAAAAGATCACATCCTCAAATTCCAAACCAGTCACACTGAAATAAGTTAATATTAGGCTATTAAGAAGGTGATCCAATCTAACACCCGTAGGGTAAAAAAAAGACCCTAGAATGTAGTTGAATAGCAATGAGTAATACTGTGGCACTTCAGCCCTGGTCTACCCTAGGGAGTTACTTCAAATATCTACCCTTATTTTGAAATAAGAAGCAGAGTTTCCACACTACCAAGTTAATGATTTCAAAATCAGGGGCTGGGTATTTTGAAATAACAGCTCCTGCTTTCTACGGCTATGGCTACTTTGCAGCACTACTTTGGGATGCCTCCAGTATCCTCAAACAACTATTCCACATCTTTTGAGCATGCTTGTTATTTTGAAATATGACAGGCTCACTATTCTGACATCCCTGTAAACCTCATTCCACAAGGAAAGTTTAGGAATAGTGATTTATTTCGAACAGGTACTTCCCCCCTGCATCTTCTTTTTCTGATATAAATCGTGAGGGCCCCCCCCACACACACACACACACACACCTTTTTACTCCACTCAAGCTCATCTGAGGAAGTGGGGGTTTGCCCACAAAAGCTCATGTTACTATATATATATATTTCTTTTAGTCTCTAAGGTGCCACAGGACTATTCTTTGTTTTTAAACTTAAAGAACTAGGCTCTCTCTAGTTCTTTAAGTACCGCCAGGTGAGGAAGTTGTTGAGAAAAAAAAACACTGCCCCTTTAAGATCTTAGTGTGCCTTGCTCAGACAAGAAAAAAAAGGACAGAGAGAACTGCGGGTGCGGGAGCTGCAATTTTTCCTTTGAAGAGCCACATGCAGCTCATGAGCTGCAGATTGGCCACCCTGAATGTCTTTGTCTACACTACAGAATTTTTTCGGAAAAACAGTCATTTTTCCAAAAAACCTTCACTTACGTCCACACTGCAATCGCATTCTTTCGACAAAAAATTGAAAGAACAGAGGGGGTTTTCTGACATTGGTAAACCTATTTCTACAAGGAAGAAGCCTTTTTCTGAAAGAGCTCTTTCAGAAAAAGGCTTCTTCCTTGTAGAAATAGGTTTACCAATGTCAGAAAAACCCCTCTGTTCTTTCAATTTTCTTTCGAAAGAATGTGATTGTAGTGTGGACATAATTCAATTTTTTGCAGAAAAATGGCTGTTTTTCCAAAAAAAATCTTTGTAGTGTAGACATAGTCCTAGAGGTCACCAGATGAAATTAATAGGTAGCAGGTCTAAAACAAACAAAAGAAAGTTTTTTTTCACATAGTGCATGGTCAACCTGTCAAACTCCTTGCCAGAGGAGATTGTGAAGACCAGCACTTTAACCGGTTCAAGAAAGAACTACATAAACTCATGAAGGTTAGGTAAATCAATGGCTATTAACCAGGATGGGTAAGAATGGCATCCCTAGCCTCTGTCAGAGGCTGGGAATCGGTGAAAGGAGAGGGATTGCTTGATGATTCCCTGTTCTGTTCCCTCCCTCTGGGGCATCTGGCATTGACCACTGTTGGAAGACAGGATACTTGACTAGATGGACCTTTGGTCTGACCCAGTATGGCCATTCTTATGTACAGACTAACAGGGCTGCTCCTCTGAGACTTTTAGTTTAATAGCTTTCTTTCTGGCAAGAACTCACTTATCAATAGATATAGTGAGTGAGATATAGTTGTGAAATTTTATAGACGTAGTTGTGAAAAACCTCATTTCTTTATTGTTTTGACTTTATGGTGCCCACTATTCGATTGTTAATCTGTATGGTCTCTGTCTGGTTCTTTAATTCTTTCTGTCTGCTGTCTAATTAAATTTGTGGGATATACATCAATCAAGGTGGCAGGATATAATTTGTCAGAAAATTATGTTACAATACACTAGCATTGGTTTGTAGAATTGCAGTAAAATGACTGGGTATATTACCCAGCTGAGAATATTACTGTTTAAATTGGGGAGGGGGGCAAAAAGGAAGTAAGTGGGGAAAAAAGGAAAATTGGAATCATGCTTGCTGGAAGTTAACCCCAATCAATATTGAATTGTCTGCACTTTGGATTTCTGGTATATTGTTGCTCCCTTTCTGCGTGAGAAGAACCAGGGAAATGGGAGGGTGAAGGGAAAAGCCCTCCAACATCATCAGCGTTGCTTTTCCCCCTCCCCGCAGCATCTTCTATATCCAGCGCACTATTTAATATCCTGAAGATGCATACAACACAGCATACATAGCACCACCCTGCAGTATATTTTCTACTATCACCTTATCTATCAATGGCTATGTCTATACTACAAGCCTCTTTCGAAAGAGAGTGTCTACACTACAAGCAGATTTTTCAAAAACCAAGCTGCTTTTTCAAAAGACAGTCTAGACGCTCTCTTTAGAAAAGCACAGTTTGCATTCAATAGCACCTTTTTTTGAAGCCTAATCCCAACTCGCTAGTCCGTGCCGCGTGTAGCCGCGTGGCACGGGGTCCGACCTAGCCGGCATTTAAAAATGGCGCCGGCCGGCTTTATGCAAATGAAGCCCGGGAAATTCAAATCCCGGGCTTCATTTGCAACACCGTATGACTACATTACCCGCCCTAGTTCGAACTACGGGGGTAGTGTAGACATACCCAGAGTGACTCAGGTCAAAAGTATCCCCTAATTTCATGTCCCCAGTTTGAAATGACTAAAATCAGATTTTAAAGAGTACCTAGCATGATATAGAACTTTATACACCTAAAGCACAGCTCTCATTGACTTCCATTACAGCTGTGAGTCACATAACATCTGCAGATCAGTCCCCAGGTTCTCCAGTCAGGCATCCAGAAAATGAGAAACACACAGTGAGTGGCCACCTGAGAAAAGTTTGGTTTATGTGATTTGCCTAGACTCACACAGGAACCCTGTGACTGAGGCAGGAATAGAATCCAGTGGTCTAGGGCAATAGTCAGCTTTCTTAACCATGAGTGTCTTTTCTCTTCCTGCAGTATTATGGTGGTTCATTCACTACACGCCTTCCGCAACAAATGAAGCAGAGACTTACAGATGACAGTCTTCCTCACTACACAGCCCGGATTCATCATGAACGAGGAAGGGATCCTGTGAGGAAAAAAATCAGGATGTATTCATATAATTAAAGACGATCGTAACGCTTAGACACAAGAGGCCTAATTTCTGCACTCTATAAAAACACAAGTCCCATGACGTGGTAGCATTAACACACAGTGACCTGGGACATCAGCAGTGTTGAAACTTTTACAGCCATCCACACAGACCTGAGCCATCTGAGGTAATGGAGGAACAGATAGCAGTAGTAGGTTGTTGCCCTATCTGTGAGCCAGCTCTAGAAGGGGAGGGAACACTTTGCCACTGGGTTTCATAGATACTTGTCTTCAGCAAAGCAATGGCGAGATGTAGGAATCTTGGGATCTTCTATTCCGGACTTTGGAAGAAGAAGCAGTTTAGTAAGCACAGACTCTTCTGCTTGTTTTCCCCAAGCTTGATTCTTTTTGCCCTATCCCCTTTAACATGTCCTTATCCCCGTCTCATCCTTGAGTCCATGTCTTAATCCTATTCTCCTTGCCTACCCAAACCCAGTCTCTAGTCCTCAGACTTTTTGTCACCATCTTAGTATATAGTTGCTTTGTGGGGGACTTGCAGCCTAGTCCAGGGGTGGCCAAGATATGGCCCGTGTGCCAGACCCAGCCCACCAATCCTTTGAATCAGGCCCACCTGCCCCTGAAGCATGGACCACTGCCACTCAAAGTGGTTACCTGCTCCCTGTGGCACTCTATGCTGCGGTGGTGGGGAGAGGTTTTGAGTACTGCCCCAATCCCCCAGCAAAATCTCTCAGCTCTGACTGGCCAACAGGGGCTGAGAGATTTTGCTGGGAGCAGGGGCAGTGCAGCACAATGTCTCAGCTCCCTTTGGCTGGTTTCCAGTCAGTAGGAGCTCAGAGATTTTCCTGGAGGTGGGGTCAGTGCATGAAGCCTCCTTCTCCACCTCCCCTGCAATGCAGACAACACCATGGAACAGCCAGCCGGGGGCTGCTGGTAAGCAGGGCAGCCTGTGAGCTGCTGAGGCATGTTTGGCTGAGGGTGGTCCCTGCAGAGATTTTAGCTGTTAAACCCTAGCAAATCCCTACCAAACTTTTGTGATTTTGATTTTTTTCCCTCAAAGGCTTATAACTAGCCCAAATTTCAGTCCCTTTTGAGAGATCACAAAAGGCACATTCCAGACCCACAGATTATAGGCCTGCAAGGTTTGAAGTTCCTGGTTCAAAGCATGGAAGTCATGGTATTGCCAGAAAAGACTGCCAGAATTTTTCAACATGGGAAAAACAATGCAGCTTTCCCTAGCTTCCTCCTAAAAATGACTGGACTGTTGTTGTTGGGGTCTTTTTTGGAGGGAAGGAGGGAGAATTGGAACAACTCAGACTGAAGCTGATAATCAGCATGGAAGTTTTCAGATCAAACCCATAATTTTGGCAATGTTAAAGGAAATAAAAAATAGGGGCTTATACAAAGCTACCATTCTTGACAATAGCATAATACTCCTTAATTTTGGTGTTTTTAATACTGATAGGGTTATTTCATGATCAGTCCAGAAGTGCCTAAAATCCTAATATAAATAGCATAATAAATTATTCTATTCTAAATAGAACAGACAGACAATATAGTGCCGTTGCATAATAAATTATTCTATTCTAAATAGGACAGACAATATAGTGCCGTCCACGGGAATTATTCAGACATAAACTGGAAATAAAATTCTTGTGCTTGAACGAATAAGAGAAAATACTCCTGAATTGGCAGATTGGCCTCTACAGTCTTATCTGGCATTACACTATAATAAGGTTTTATGGCACAAATAAAGTTATATAGTTTTGCCTCTACATTTTGCTTAAATATCACATTCAGAATAATTCTGTATGGAAATTTATTCAAATCTTTGAGTCTCCACTGGTTTGTTTATAGCATTACTTCCTTCCTTGGGAAATTCCTTTCAGAGGCTCATGTAAAATGTGCACATTTTCTAATGACATTCAGAGTCTTCTCGATAGGAAACTTTAAAAAAAAAATCCGCCGCCTTAGTTTCTGAAGTGAGTGGGCACACATTTTGGGCTGCTGCAAGGGACAATAATATTTTTCCTGTGCAAGTTACATGACTGTTGCCACTTGTCTTGTTCACAGGCAGGAAAAGGCCAATGGGAAACATCTATTATGAACCTATGACAGGTACAGGAATGCAGCACCCCATGGACTGCTAAGTCTTATATATTAGAAAGATACAAATGTATTGTAGTAGTGCCACCAATTCCCAGTTATGTATCAGGGCCCCGCTGTTCTAGGTGCTATGCCAAAACCACTTGAGTGTTGTCCTGGCAGATATTTAGGACTGTAAAGAAAGCTGGGTCCAAGTGACACACCAGTGTTCCCTTGGTGACATTCTACACTGAAGTTCTTCCAAAGAGGAAATCCTTCTGCCTGTCTCCTCCCTTCAGGCTTCATACCACATAGTAGGCAAAAGGACAGCTGCTGTTCCATTATACTGAAGGTTAGAAGTCCTCAGTTCTATTCCTGTATTTACTACCAGCCTGCAGTGTGGCCTTTCTGTACCTCAGGTTCCTTCCTGTGATGATATTGACTTCCTTGTAAAGTGAGTTGGAACCTCTGGTTGGAAAGCACTCTAGCTTAGCTAGGCAGCATTATTACTGAGTCTTAAACCAGCGCTCTAACCACTAGGCCAGAATGAGGAGACATGCAGTTGTTGCATGCTACGGCACTATTGCACAGAGCGGGCACTCACTTCTGAACCAGCATGATCGGTGGTAGGAGTAAGATCCGGTGGTTTGATTGGTTCTTTACATTCTATTTTGCATACTGAGTGTCTACGTCACACCAGTGTTTCTGCCTTTGCTGAGTAGGACCTATCAGGCTCTGTCTTTACTTTCTTAGAACCAACATGGAGGTGCAGACTATGCTTTGCAATGTGGAGGGCATTCAGAATCTCACTACACTCTGAACTTCCACCTCTATAGTTCTAATGGGATTTTCAGCTTGGAGGTGAATGGCTGATTTTCTGTTTTCCCTATACTCTCTCCAGCCACTGGATCATTTTGTGTTTCTCCTTTTATCTGGTCAACTTATATTTTGGAAAAGAGCAGACACTGCGTCATATTCAAGTTCTTGTTCTACATCTCCTAGTTTTCACTAGTTACATGTGAAGACAATTGCTTGTTGGATTTGTATTCCACATTTGTAATACTTTTGTGATTTTAGCTTCACCTTCTAAGGCCACGGCTAAGGTTGGGGTAGTTTTGAACCTCAGTAGTATTGAAAGCCAGGGCTGCCCAGAGGATTCAGGGGGCCTGGGGCAAAGCAATTTTGGGGGCCCCTTCCTGGCACTCCCTGTCTCAGATGTCAGAAGTCAGACATTCTCGTGGGGGCCCCTGATTGCCAGTGAGAAAAGAGAGGAAGCAATGTTGCCATTTTTTGTTCTTTTTATCTCAAGTATTGTGGTATCTGGTGGTGTGCTTTAATTCCCAGCTCCTGGAGTCATATAATTATTAAA